ATTTTGGATTAATGATTACATCTTAATTACAATAATTTGAACTGATAATTTTAGCATCTAAACTGTGGATGTCTGTTCTACTGAAACCTACTCAAACGCTAATTAATTACAGGATACAACTACTTATATTTGAATTTATACTAAGAGAAAATGCAGACTTCAGCTCAACTATCAGTAGCATATGCACTGTTCTCTTCTTTTTTCAGTAAAGATATCTTTGGCAGAGTGTAAATACTAAAAGTCTCAGCACCACAGGAAAATTTTTCAAAATAGAAAAAAGTAATGGCTTCTTGATCACTTAATGGCAATATCTTTCTTAATACGCTTATTTCTTACTATATAAATAAGATTTAAAAAATCAAAATAAAATATGATTGACACCTATCCTGTGATCAAATCTGGTACCTCTTCATGGTCTGCTGTCTCGTCTCACCATAGGCTTTTTTTTTTAACAGTTAAGATTTGTTAGCCTGAACTCAACTTTAACAACTTCTGAAACTCATGTGTTAAGTTACAGCCTATAATAGGATACAGCTGCACAAGGGTGAGTTTCTAAGTTATGATTTTTCTGTTTAAATGATACGGTTGTACTGATTATGTGCTACAGATTGATTTAAGAAATGTAAGACAACTTTAGAAGCCTTTCATAAAAGAATCTTCTTTATTTAATACGTTTCATATTGACATTTTAACCCCAAAGACTCTTACTTCTTTTCTTCCGTGTTCAAATTCTTACATAAGTTTATTCTGTCAAGGTAGTTTTTAAAAATCCTATTTTAAAAGAAAAAAAAGAATCCTACTGAAAGTTTAATAATGACAAAATAGGCAATTATTACACTCCCTGTAGTTCTCTGTATTTTCTCTCTGGTGTCCGTGGAATGCTGTTTGAATTATGGTTTTGCTTTTTTTTTCTGCTGCGATGATAATCAGTTGATCCTTATTTTGATCTCATCCCATTATGCAGCTGTGGGAACCCATCGTTTAGTCACCACTCCTTTGGCACTTATGGCCTGTACAGTGTAGTTTACATTTTTCTCACATGGCTCTGCACTATGGGTTATAGTTTTACTGGCACATTTTTGGCCACGTCTAAGTTGGAAGTCCCCGGAGGGCAAAGCCATACCTTGCACTTCTTTGTAACCCTCAGCTTGCCTCCCACAAGGCTGGGCACCTTGCAGGTGCACAACAGACCTTTTCTTGGTTGCTGATTGGATGGTTTTCTCCTTCACAAAAAGGAGGAAGATTTTTCCCATTGTCAGATGTTCTTCTTTATGATGAAATAAACTGTACTGGGACTTTCTAAGCCATTGACAACTTAATCACAGCCTAATTGTATACAGGGTTAAGTTGACAGCCAGATGAGACAGGAGGGAGCATGGAGGAAGGGGTTCTGAAAGTAAACACGGCCACCTCAGGCAACTTCCCCGGACCACTGTCTTGGGTTGGTCTTGGTAGAGTAACCTGAATCATCCCATTTACCACACTGGCATAGTGACTTAGATTGCTAATCTTCATACTCATCCTCATGGTCTACCCTCAACTCTGGATCACCAAAGGCTGTGCACCAAGCTCTTTACAGCCAAACTGTCTGTGTCTTATACAAAACCCTAGTTTCTGTGGCAGGGTCATGGAGAGCTTTCTTATAATGACCATTCCCAGGCAAGGTACATTATATGCCTCAAGCCACATGTGCACAGATCTGACCATTTTAACTAAACAGAACTGGTCCGCAAAGCAATAATGTTTGCTCTCTTTTGTTTTTTGTTTTCTTGAATCCTTGGTTGTTATTTGAAGTCAACGTCCTACAAGATCTCTTAAATATAGTGCACCATCATTGTCCAGAGAAATATGGGAAAGCTTTACTTCCTGAATGGTTAAATAGATTACATCAGGTTTTTATTTTGTGTAGCTTTTGTGATTGGATGACATCATCTGACCCATGGTGCACATATAAACCACATTTGGGAGTTCAGGCATGCTGTTGCTGCTGCTGTTTAATTGTAGTATATTTAATGACCTTTTATTTTAATTTGTCTTCATGATTCCCTCTTGCTTCTGATATTCTCTCCCCTCTGCCTTCTTAAAAAATTACCCTGTACTTCCAAAGGTATTTTTTAAATGTTACTTACCTCTCTCCCCAAATGATTTATAGTTCAGCGATTTTAAATTCGGAAGGTGAAAATTAGACCCCCCCCCCAAAAAAAGATGGTGTACTTTTTTTTGCATATTTTGGAGAATCTCACAAGAGGTTAATTTTGTGAACCACCTCAAAGGATCATTAATTCTCTTAAAGAAGGTGTTCAAGGTAGAGGATAGGGACCAGACTAGAAGAAAAGAAAAAGCAAACAAAAGAAAAAACGCAACCAGCTTCCCAGCTGCTGGAGGAGCTAGGCACTAACTCTGGAACTTTACTAAAAGAAAATTCCTCTGCTGGAACAAAGCAAGACTCGAAGCTGTCTCAGCCCTGCTGTGTGGCTGTGGCTACCTTTGAAAGAGTGTCTACACAAAAGAAAAAGGGGCCCAAGATTCCTACGTATTGTACCCGACACACAAGCTGTGTCAGCAAGATTCCATTAGCCTGGTCAAAACTTGGCTAAGCCTGAGGATGGTTATAAATGTTTAGACAGCTGGCTCTATTGGTCAGTGTCCTGAAGTTTGCCAAGCCAAGCACATGACCCAAAGGTACACCATTTTGCAACCTATTTTGCATAAATGACAAATTGGCATCATGCCTTGTGCTTGCTCCTTAAATTATTTGGGGGTCCTTTTCCTTTTTCTCTACAACAAAACTAGGAAATCACGTTGGCAAAACAAGTTGCACATAATTGAGTTGCTAGAATAGAAAATACTAATTATTTCAAAATATCACCTGCTAAGGGTAATTTAATTAAAGATTATATTAAAATATTACATAACATAAAACCATCTGTTTGGAGGCACAGAATCAATTTGAAAATATGTTAATTTTGAAAGCCTGTTAATGATTTATCCTTAAATGGTAGCCTTTCCAATTTGTCTTTTATTATTTTTGGCAAGGGAACTTTTACTCAACTAGAATTTTTTCTCATGTAAGGCATAAAGAAATTGATCCTTTTCTTCTGATAGATTTATAATACAGTCTTAAGATCCCTTATTGCTGACAAATGACTGTCTTCCATTCAGGACTTACCTCATATTAGGTAATTGAACTGAGCAATGAACTATAATGTTTCTACTTTCCTGAAGCATAAGCAGTCATTAAACATTAATTTAAAATAAAAGTTAGCTCCTCTCTGTAGTTTTTGCTAAGAGCACATCTATTGCTGTTAGAGTTCATTAGAAAGTGAAAATTTAGGACAAATATCCATGTTTCCAGATTTTGAAAAATGTAGCGTTTCATCCATTTGTTTTCTGTCTATTCTGAAGCTTTGACTTTACCAGTTAATGATATTAAAAGAGCTTTTCTTTTCCATTTCTGAACTCTTCACATATTTTGGAAATAAATTAAATAGCAGAATGTGTACAATTAGAGAATTTTCAGACTTGCAGATTATTTTTAGAACATTTAATGATATGGTTTCCAGTCCAGGAACAGTTTCAAAGATGCAACATGCAAGCATATAATCATGCCTTTTCTTTTCTTCCTTCACCTTCTCTAACCACAAATAGTAGCTAACACTCTAGTACTTACTGTGTGTGAAGCTCTATTCTGAACGCATTCCATTTTAAGCTTTATAGCACCCTGTGATGTAAGTACTGCATTTTACAGATAGAACAGGAGCACTAGGCAGGTATCTTACAGCTGTAGAGACAGGATTCAAACCCAGCCATTCTGGCTCCAGAGTCCATACTTTTAACTACCTAAGTGAACTGTCTGCCTGTTGATGAAACACAGGGAGACAAAATGCAGTACACATTTTATTGTGTTTGAACCACAGCCTGTACGTGAGGACTCTTCTACAACAAACTCTATAATCCATGGAGCTTTTACATCCTCTGCATCTCAGAATTGCCATATGAAAACATAGATTACGTGTTCCTGTCAGCATCTCCATCGTGTCCAAACTGAAAAGACAAGTTCTGAGTTTTTAGGATAAAAAACCTTTCAGTGTCCAGTTACTGACATCCTTCTCTGAAGGGGCTTCATGCTCCTTTCAGACTGCAGAAAGAGCGCTCTCTTGCTTGCTCCATCTCCTACCCACTTCTCAAAGCTTTTCTGCCCGAGTTCCTCCCAGAGAAGCACTCCCCCTGGTCTCACCCAGATGCACAAGAGCAATCACACATTCTCTCCAGGTGTCTGGGCCCTTCTTCATGGATGGATCCACTACAGACAGCGCGGGGCCTCAGGCAAGGACAAAGGACAAAAGACTCTGCCCCTGCCCTTCTCTCCCACTTGAGTAAAGCTGGAGCACTGGAACAATGGGGTTGATTTCCAATTATTGAAAGAAGTGAAGTCCCCTTACCCTGTCTCTTATCAAATTGTAACCCCTTCCTAATGACATCTTTTCCTATCGCTCCCTTGCACAATTCCTCAGCTAAGGCATTACTGTTTTTCTCATTTTTGTCAAATGCAACTCTCACTCCTTTGGGAGTACTACTTCTGTCCCTTCCCCCATCTTGGTCTGCATCTCATTTTTCCGAAACAGCTCAGTTTAGGCTCTTCTCTTATGCAGATTTTTTCCTGATCTTTTCAGTCCACATTCATCTATGTTTCCCCTCATATCAATTTAATTATTATGCCTTAAATTATAAAGTTTTAAATATTATTTTAAAATCATTTCTGTTCTACAGCGTAGCAGTGTAATATTATTTAACAAATTATATTATGAATGTATTATTTCTGCAATCAAATTGTAAATTTTTATGGGCAGAGGCCTGTTTTGAACTTTTTTTTACTTCATACCATCAAGGTCAGGGTCACCAGATAGACTAGTGCCACAATGCTGGTTAATTGTGGTATTCTATTCTACTGATCCCAGAGACTACTTTCAAATCCTTTAAACAGAGTGCTCCAGGCAGTCAACATAAGTGGATTCGAGTTAGCACTCTAAGACAAAAGTACTTACCATCTCTGTTCAGGATTTCTCTAAGCCCTAGTTATTATGGAGGTAAATCTCCAGCTGGCAAACACCTAGTAATCATGCATCTACTCTGTCCCTGTGTCTGCTCTATTTGATCTTCCTGCACCTATTCAGCCAGCTGAGGCATGGCTGCCACTGCCACATCCAGGTTGTGTAGGTACCATGGTGGTTCATACAAGAAGCTTCCTATTCCAGAAGGAAGTCTTGACTTCTTCATGAGTAATAGTGTCTGCACTTATCTTCTGTATGTTCATTCAGTTGCACTGTTCAGATATTTAGTTTTCTTAAGATTCCAAATGAGTTCAACAACTACCTCAAGATGAATAGCCCTGTGCTAGATACCAAGGAGGCTACTACAGAGAAGGATGAACCAGCCCCTCCCTGTCCTCTAGAATCACAGTCTGCTGCGAGGTAAATAACATAAAACTGTACTCTATAAGACGAATTGTTATCACAAGGCATTTTTTTCCTCTTGCCAGACATAAGTCCAGCCAAGTCTGACTTGATAAATTTAGCCAGAAGCACCGCATCCATTTTTATTAGTGTGGGTTATAGGAGATTAAGTGCTAAGACATAGGGCCACTAATGGAACAGAAGCTCAGAAAAAGACGTTCATGTGGGCTGGAACCAGTGAGTAAGGCATGATGGAAGAGGTGGCATTTCCTCTAAAGCATGAGAGTAAATTGGATGGCTAGAGGGGAAGGACAGAAACAACATTCAGGAGAGGAAGGAGAACTTAAACCAAAGCCCAGGGGGAAACCATGCAGTGTATGTTCAAGGACAAATAAAGACACTGCTTTTGCTGAAGCTAATTGAAGATTTCTGCTAGAAAGGGTCAAGGTTGGATGGTCAAGGTGTTTCACATTGTTGGATTTCTCCATTGGTCAGCTGCCTTCTGTGAAAGTCTCAATGCTGAACTTTATAATCAAAAAGAAAGCTTGAGGAAGGGGAAAATGAAAACCTTGTTTTTGGCAGACTTGCTTGGGAATCTGCATACCACTGAAAACTCTGTCAAGTTCAAATTTCAAAACACAGTGAAGAGGAGAATATCCACACTAATGTCTATAAGCTGCATAGCAAATTGTCTTCTTGTTAATACACAAAATATTCAAAAGCACTGAACAGGTTTGTCTTAGTCAGCTTGGGCTGCTGTAACAAAATACCATAGAGTGGGTGACTTAAACAACAGAAATTTATTTCTCACAGGCCTAGAGACTGGGAACTCCAAGATCAAATTGCTGGCAGATTCGGTTCTTGGTGGAAGCCTTCTTCCTGGCTTCACATGACTGCCTTCTTGCTCTGTCCTCACATGGCTGAGAAGAAGCTCTGGTCTCTTTGTGTTCTTACAAAGGCACTAATCCCATCATGGGACCCCACCCGCATAACCTCATCTAAACCTATCTCCCAAAGCCCCTACCTTTTAATATCATTGAATTGGGGATTAGGACTTCAACATATGAATTTGTCAGGGACACAAATATTTGGTCCATAACAAGGTGTATTACATGTGTCTGAGAAAATAATTTGGGGCAATGGAATGGATTAAGAAATTTGATGTGCAGAGTCAGTTCAGAAATTAAATTGCTTTCTTTACTCTCAGATGTTGTAAACTGATAGAAGTCACAAAAAGGAACTAGATTTTATGCTATTATTCTCAGGATCTCCCCCCAAATTCTCTCTCCTTCTGCTTCCTCCCATACCCCCGGCCTCAGTCACTTGCTTTTCTACTTTGTTATAGTAATTTTACCAGTTAAACATCAGTTACCTTGACAAGGCAAGACCAATAGATGACCTGTGAGTGTTTTCTTTAGTGTCCACTGAGACAAAGTAGAAACTTTTCAAAAAGAATTTCACTAAACTTTGGGAGAAATAATGCATAGCCAAAAATGATGTGTTCCAGATTATTACTTCCTGACCCTGAGGTGAAAGGCATAATCAGGCAGAGATACTTGACCCTGACTGTTGTTCATGCCCTTCTTCCCAGGAAGCCTGCTCTAAGGCCCTCCTCAGTCTTCTGTCATTTTCTCTTGTTTCCCTTGTGGTCTCCTTTAACCGTTTTTCCTTGAAAGAAGGGACTGGAATGGGAGGCCTAATCACAGTCCCCTCTTAAGCTCACAGTTGGTGGGTATTTATACCATTGCTTTAAACCAAAGCAAATTGTTGGCTCAAGATTGATCAGGATACCTGTTCATATGGACACAGATTGCTCATTCATCATGATGGTTACAAGCTGGAAACATCACTTGCATGAAAAAAGTACAAATATTGACCTTTGCTTTGTTTGACTTTTTCAAGAACAAGTATCAGAAAAATGGCCCCTAAGAAAAGGTAGAAGTAATTCTTGTGCAGAGCCTCCTATGCCTTCCGTACCAACAGCCTCACAAAGGCAGCACATCTTCCATACCTTTGATGATATTCAAATATTCAACTAACATTTATTATGCATCTTTAACTCCCTCTAGTAGAAGCAGACATGCATGAAAACCACTTAAATTCCATTATAATTAGGAGTATCTCAGGATGAACAAAGAGCATAGACTACACACCCAGACAGCACTCGGTTAAAAATACCAAGTCTAAGACTCAGTAGCTGTGTGATTGTGCTCTGAGCACCTTTTATTTCCTATCTTCAAGTTGTGAGTGGTAATACCTATTTCTAGAGGATGGTGTAAGAATTAAAGTGAGAAAACACATTGTGCCTGGCATATAATGGGTACACGATAAGGGAGATGAGAATGGCAGCTTCTTTCTGCAGCAGTTTCTCAAACTTTAACGTGCATCAGATTGCCTGGGAATCTTGTTAAAACTGTAGATTCTGGTTCAGTAGACCTTGGGAGGGGGCCGAGATCCCACATTTCTAACAAGTCCTCAAGTGATGTTCATGCTGTCTCTCAAAGTACAAAGTTTCCATAGGAGGGTTTAGAAATTATTTTGGGTTTGTTTTCATTTTTAAGGAGTTAATGCTGGAGGTAAATCTTAAAATTGAAAGAAAAAAAGAGAGAGAGAGAGAGAGAGAATGAGTAGGTGCCAGCCAGGAAGACAACGGAGAGTGGAAAGAGCTTTCCAAGAGGAGGAATGGAAGTAGGGGGCTTGTTAGTAGCATATGAAGTATGGGAGTGTGAGGGACCTGGAGAGTGACTTGAGGAGAGAAGTTTGGAATGAGAAAGAACATTAAGACATAGGGTCTTCTATGACTTGCCAAGGAGTTAGTTCTGTAGGTAATGAAAAACTCGCTGAAAGATTTTAAGATGTGAGTGATTTGATCAGCTATAAGATTCAGAAAGACTACCCTGGAAATGATTGAGGATGGGTTGGATGGGAGGAAGATTGGAGTCAGGAGGGAATTGTGGTATATTTGGTGAGAAATGAACCAATGCAGCCACGGTAATATGAACTGAGAGGAAGTGATGATTATCAGAGAGACATCAGGATATGGAATTGACAAAACCTGGGCACTTATTAGATATGAAAAGAGGAAATTAAAGTTCCTGCCGTGTTTCTGATTTATGTGACTGGTAGATGATAATATCACTTTCTAAGTAATTTGGGGAAAGAAAAGAGGTTATGGAAAAGAAAATGAGTGAAGTTTGGGAATATGCTGAATTTCTGCAACATCCAATGGAAGTATCTATTAACAAAGATGGAGTTACAGGAAAACGTTTTGGGAACTATTTCCATGTATTATGGTAGATTGAGTCATGGAGATAGGTTCAAGAAAGGGCAAGACTTTCATACAAATCAACATGAGGGTTAAGCAGAGGAAGAGAAAGCCAGAAAAGAGACTGAGAAGAAGTGATCAGAAATAGAGAAGCAAAATCAGGAGGAATACTGTCAGAAAGGCCTAGGGATATTAGAGTTTCTAAAAGAAACTGATCAGCTATGTCAAAAAATGCAGTTAGAGGCCAAGTAAATAAGGACTGAAAGTTAGAAATTGGTGGTATTTGCCAGAATAGTGTCAGTGGCATAATACAGAGGAAAGCCAGATTGTGGTGGATTAAAAATGAAAGAAGATAGGGAAGCAGAGATAGTAATATAGAATATTCTTTATAGCAGTTTGGCTATAATAGGAAAATTTTAATAACTAGTAGCTAAAAAATAGTCCCAGGAGTTTCTTTTAATTGATTCATTCATTCATTCATTTGTCATCTTGAGCATACTTATGGCTACTGAGAAGAAGAGAGTAAAGAGGAAACATTTTAAAATAGGAGATTGACTCCATATTGTTTTCCATAATGACTGCACCAATTTATATTCCCACAAACAGTGTACAAAGGTTCCCTTTTCTCTACATCCTTGCCAACGTTTGTTATTTGTGTTCTTTCTGATGATGGCCATTCTGACAGGTGTGAGATGATGTCTCATTGTGATTTTGATTTGCATTTCCATGCTATTAGTGATGTTGAACAACTTTTCATGTTCCTGTTGGCCATCTGTGTTTCCGCTTTTGGAAAAATGTCTGTTCAGTTCTTCTGCCCATATTTTAAATGGAGGGGTTGGTTGGTTTGTTTTTTAATTGAAGTACAGTTGATTTTTAAAAAGTAGGTTAAAGTGGGGAGGGTATAGCTCAGTGGTAGAGTACATGCTTAGTGTGCACAAGGTCCTGGGTTCAATCCCTAGTACCGCCTCCATTAAAATAAATAAATAAACAGACAAACCTAATCACCTCTCCCCCCCATATAAATAAATGAAGGATTGTTAACCTTAAAAAATAAAATTAAAATCGGAGGTTGAGAGGATGACTAATAGCACAATGTCCAGAAGAAGCAAAACAAATTGATTTGAGACTGAAGGAAATAAAATGGAGCTGGACACTTGTGTAGATGGGTCACTAGATATTGGGATGAATATCGCATGCTTGGTGGCCTGAGTTTGTAATATGGAAGGCAGGATCATTGGCTGGGCACTGAAGGAGCAACCACAACTAGAAACTAAACTGTCTTGTGAGGCTTTTCCTCACATTTGGGTGGTTTTCTTCAGCAATACTTGACCCTTTGCTCGAATTTTCATTGACATTTTCCATGAACCTTGTTGCTACTTCAAAAATTAAAGGAACATATGTTTGATAAATAGAGCATCTTCAGATATACCCATCTTTGAAATTCCAAACAGTAAGCAGGCCTCCTTCCCTCTGCACTCCATTCATCTGGTTTTCTAGTCGACAAGAGGAGATAGAGATAGAAAGATGGATTGTGTGTATGAATCACATGTTACACACTTTAGAGGTGATGACATACATAAGACCATCAAAGAAATCCTCCAAGATTGCAGAATAAAAAAATTTAAAACTGCCACTTTTATTCATGCAGAAATTTTACTTCTTACTTTTGAACCCTTTAATCCACATAGTTTTACATGCCAAAATTCTTGTGTTCATTTTACCTAGATAAGCGTGAGTCTTCATCTGCCAACTCCAGTTCTCAGCTAAACAGCATTCAAAGATGAAGTAACTTAAAATAGCAGACTAATGGCCCTTGTTGACTATCAGAACAATAAGCCACTGGCTTTGGTTTTAGGCTTCAATCTTTAAGACACCTCTGCTGAATTCTGGAGGTCAACTGCAAGCAGAAACACAAATCGGCCAGTTCAAAAAATACTTGTTTTCCTGGACATGGGAGGGAGGGGAAGATGGGGAACAGATATACAATTCGGAAAATAAAAGTTTCAATTCTATTTTGAGTCACATCAACTGGTAGAAAATATTACTTCAGATATTTTTGAAGGAATGAAAAATGTCTGTAATTACCAAGTTCACTGTGACCACTTCAGCATGTATTTTATTGGTTAATTCAACTATCCCCTCTGATAGCTTTACATTTCCCAGTTTCTTTCCCAAAACACATCTTAAATACTAAAAACTACAGTTTTTAAATATACATAGGTATCCATTTCCTTAGGCATCTTGAGAATTTGCCTGAACAACACCCTGTGAAGCTGGAACCTGATTGGTGACCTAGGGATGAAGTGAAAGAGCCAGGTGCTTTAGTCAGCAGCTCAGAAGGTGGTTGTGCAATATTTTTGCCTCCAGGTTAAACTCTGTGACTCTTCTGATTCCCAGAAAAACAACAAAGCCCAGCATTTTGAAGCACATGTATTCAGGAACGTATTCATGAGAATGCCAAATGGCATAGACACCTGTCACACAAAGAATGTTTGGAAGAACAAAGGTTATTTAATCTAGAGCTTGAAGAAACCTAAGCATTGTGAATATTAGTATACTTTCATATTCAAGTAAGTGATAATCAGTTCAAAATGGTTTAAGGAAAAAGCAGATGTGTTTGTTCAGGAGCTCAAACTATGTCATCAGAAATTTTTCTTTTCCCTCTCTTGGTTCTACCCCTCTCTGTGTTGGCTTTCTTCTCAGCCATGATTCCCCCTTGCTCAGGCAGCACACTTCCATCCTATATCCTCAGCAACTCTAGTGAAAAAGAAGAATCCAGTCTTCCAACATTCCCAACAAAAATCCTGGACTCGACGCTAAATGACTTGGCTTTGGTCGAATCCCCACCACTCAGCCTTGGAGAAGACATGATTGAAGGAAAGGTGTTTTTTCAAGGAAAACTTTTGTGCTGTTCCTACAAAGAAAGAAAGCAAATGCCCAGGCAGGCAAAAACAACAGATATCCTACACCACCTTCAAATACTTGGTGGGCTCTCTTGTGGATAGTGGGGCTAACTTCTGTGAGCCCCCAGAAATGAGAAATGGCCCACTTGCATGAACCTTATAGGTAAGCAGATTTCAGCTTACTCCCCAAACAGACCTTTTTACAGTTAAAACCATTAGCAGTTGAAGTGGACTACCTCAAGATGTGCCAAGTTCCAGGTCCTTCCACATGTTCAGACTCAGGCCAAATGGGCAGCTGTCAGTAGTGTTGTGCAAGGAATTTCTGCATCAGGCCGAGCTTTGCCTGCATGACCTGTAAGGTCTCTTTTGCCTCTACAATTCTATTATCCTTGTTAATTTCCACAATTCAATTTGCAGTACAGGATAAACAAACCAACCTAATTTGATCTGGAACTTCTGCAGGCTATCACAGGTCATTTAATCTAAAACACATGGCTGTAGCCATTACTATGTTTTCTGAAGTCATCTAACAGACGTGGCCCTTAACAAGGTTTCCATGTTATTAGTTTCACTTATGGGTCTTTTTCCCCAGCCTCCTGCTTATTACACAATTGCTTTTCACTCTCCTTTAGAACGAGGTGAATAGGAACATGAAAGAGTTTTCTTTTTTCTGCCTTTCTCCTCTTAAATCTTATTTTTTTATGTATATATCTTTATTGAAGTATAGTCAGTTTACAATGTTGTGTCAATTTCTGGTGTACATTATAATGCTTCATTTCATTGCTTACATCTTTGAATTTAGCTTTCACTTTGCAGATTTAAGAATTTAGAGAAACGGGAGTCGGGTCATGGATCATCTTAGCTCTGGACAAAGTTTATTATTAAGGAAAATTTTCAAAGAAGAGTGAGATGTTTTAATTTGACATACAAAAGTATAAAGTAAATTTAATACTACAGTGTTGTTAGAATCATGCCGCCAAACTACCTGAGCTCACGAAAAAATAAACACATTTGTGTTAGATAGTATTTGCTTCTTTCACAACCGAAAGTACACACACTCCGTCCTCCACCCCACCAAGCCTACCAACACTATACGTACTCCATTCTGCTTAAACTGGAAATGACATGTTACACAATCCAACCCACAAATAAAACGTTGTTTTTGCCGGGGTATGTCCATCCTTAATAATTGATTTTATTTCTTGTCTTTTCCAGTGAATGTTGTGTCAATGTTACAGGAATTTTGGGAAAGCAAGCAGCAACAGAGGGCTGCATTCCCAAGTGAAGGTGTGGTGGTCTATGAGTCGCTGCCATCTCCTGGACCACCCTTCGTGAGTTACGTGACCCTCCCAGGGGGAAGCTGTTTTGGCAACTTCCAGGTAAGAGGCAATCATGAATCAGTGAAAATTAACCAGTTAAAATAGAGTAAGCCCTTTTATAAAATGGTAACACTGTAAGTTTTCTTGATTGTAGTGGAAAAACTTGTGCCACATTCCATCATGCAACAGAAAAATTGGTCAGATGTTCCAGGTTTTTCAAATGGAAGTATTTTTTATTAGGGTGTTGTCCCCTGATATTTCTTTATATAAAGTGAATTTTATAGCGTTTTATTTACCTGATAGCTGCTGCCTTTCTCTTCAAAATGTTTTGGAAAAAATCTGAAAAAACAAAGAAACTTGGGCAAAGCCCTTCCATCAGGGCCCTTCCATGAGTAGAATATCTTGATGTTCATGAAATTTGTAATCAATTACTAATCAATCTACTGTGTACGAAAGCATGAACCAACTTTGGTTGAGATTCACAACACTGGTTTCAGGAACCTGTGCTAATCCCAAATCCTGCCTCTGAGTAACTGCAGACCTTGGGAAACTTATTTAACTTTTTGATTTCCCTGACTTTGAGGTGAGGAATAATGCCCACAGGTTTGGTTGAGAGTCATATGAAATATACATGCAATGTATTTATTTGGTTTATATAGTAGGTATTTCAAGTGTTGTTTTGATAATTGTTAAAAAGGCTCTTCCAGTTGATTAATTCTTTATTATGTTTATGATGGGTGTAAATGATGATACATTTCTAGTTGTCTTCCTACTCACACAAAACAATTTGTCTGCATAAACAATCAGCATCTGATTATCCTGTGTGTGTAACCAATACTCATTGAGTGACTAGAAAATATCAAGCACTGGTCTGAGTAATGAGGATATGGTCCATATCTTGAGGAACTAAATGTACAAAAAATTACAGTAATTACATAGAGTTATAGTTGAGGGTCAATGAAAGCATAAAGTAAGGAACTTAGTTTACCAGTCACCTTTATAAGTACCCCTTTAGTGCATTGAACTACCTCTCAATTTTCAAAAACTGGCAAAAATGCCTCATTTACGGTTTATGGATAATGTGAAACTCACAAGCACTCCACTTTCCCCCTTAGCTTTGACAACTAAGGAGCCCAGAGGCAAATTTTCAGTGTATCTCTTTGTAGTTTAAGTCTATGAAACTTAGTGTTAAAGTAATTTTTAGGACTAACCTCATACCTGATCCTATTTATATTTCTACCTTTACTCTCCCTTTGAACTTAGTGTGCCTCTCTCATTTATTTTATCCTGTTACCATGTATCTGTTTTATGTTATTCTAAATCCTTTGTCTGGTGAGGGAAGGATGTAGTTTAATAAACAGACCCACAAACCTATGTCTGCCCAGAGGAAGTCAAAAAAGAATTCACGGGACGCAGTCACAAACTAAGGTGCAGTTGAGGGTGTTTTTGCCAATCGATCAAGGGGAGATGACATTCCCAGCATAGGGGACAGTGTGTGCAGAGGCGTGGAGCAAGAGAAAACCACTTTTGGAATTTGGGAACATAAGTGTGTCTGTGACAGGGAAACGGTGGAAGATGATGGTTAGGCACTCACATCAAACTATGAAGTATGTTTATGCTTTGCAAAGAACAGGCTTTATTCTATATAAAAATCAACACCTCTGAAAGATTCTGAGCAGGACTGTGATATATTCACATGTGTTTCAGAAAGACTTGTCTCGCAGGAGCATGGGGTAGTTTTAAAGAACTGTTTTCAAAACTCAAAACTCTTGACACCACCAGCCAGTGAGGTCTTGCCTTCTCCTGTCCTGAACAGTGATCAGCAGTGGATTTTGACCTCTGACTAATGAAAGTGAATTGCCTGATGAGGATGATTTGAAAGTGGGTCTAGAAGCCTTACAACAGAGTTTGGTGTAACCACAGACACTAGAGAGGGGTGAAGAGGCAAGAAAGGGGGAAGAAAGGCAGCGACTGAGGAAGGGGTTCTCTAATCCATGTGAGCCTGCGGGTCTATCATCAAGCATTCTAAGGTGAAGGCTGCCCACTCATTCAGATCTCCCGTCATTCTTCCCATTCAGGGGAGGACTCCTCAGAAAACAGACCTACTCAGTCACAGGCAAGTTCCTGCCAGCTGCCCAAATGAATCTGGGTTTTTTTTTTTCATGAATGTCAATGGTCTAAAGATCACCAGACAAATGAGGAAAACCGAAAGCAAAAGAAAAAAGGCCAAGGCAAGCAAATAAAAGAGTTAGAAATAATTCAAGCAGCAGGGTATATAAGAGGAGATTACAGTGATTATCTTCAGAAAATTGTGGGAAGGTAAATATCCCTAAAACAGCTATGAAAAAAGAAGCAAGCAAGGAACAGGAAATTTAAAATGTGATTGCCAAATTAGTTAAATAAATAAATAAGTAAAAAGGGCATAAATAGATGAGCAGACATAGATCACAGCCAAATTAGTAAAGAATAAAAAAGCGAAAAGTAAATAGTAAATTTTCTAGAACTTAGAACAAAAAGAAAAATAGATGGAAAAAATAGGACAGGAGACATGGGGATAAATCCTGGAGGTAAACATTAATAAGAGTCCTATAAAGAGACAAAGGAGGTAAAGGGGAGGAAATTAATAATAGAAGCAATTTTCTTTGAGTTTAAGTAAAGTGCAAATTTTCATATTGAAATGGCCTACCATATTCCAAGCAGGACATGACCGAAAAATCACAAAGCTCTGTAGCTATATGGAATTTAGGAACTGCTTAAAAGATGGATCAAAGGACTTTTGTGCACTGATGTCACTGTTTTGGGAGGGGGTTGTTTTGTTTTGTTTTAAGGTAGATTGAATTTATATGTAGGATAGCTTTGGAGGAGCTGATGAAATAGGGCAAAAACTGGCAAACGTGGTCAACAAAACCTAAAACTATTTCCTTAAAAAGATAAATAAGAAAGACAAACCTTTGGCATCTCTGAGTTAAGGAAAAAAAAAATAGACATACACTACACTAAGCATGAGAAAGGTCATAGAAGCGTAATACAAGAATACTGCATGAACTATTAAAAAAACACGAAAACTTAGACAATATTGACTACTTTTTTGGGACTCTCTATTATTATCTTTGCAACTCTTCTATAAGCCTAAAATTATTTCAAAATAAAAAGTAAAAAAAAAAAATGGCTGCTGTGGCTCCCTATTACTTTCTTGTTAAAGTTGAAATTCCTTATTCTGGCAATAAAGACTTTACAGCTGGCTCCAGCCTATCCAACTTTATCTCCCTGAATTCTTCTTCTGACACTCAGTGCTTCAGCCTAACTGCTTCTCACCCGTGACTTGACCTCTTCTGGCCACTCCCACACTCACACTGTGGGCTATTCTTCAAGAGCTGTTGCCACCTTTCTTCATGTCTAAACCCTGACCATCTTCTAGGACTTCACTCAAATATCATGTTCTCCATGAATTTTCCCTAAATCTCCCTGCTAGAAATTTCTACCTCCTCTGACTTCCCAAAGCAGTTATCTCTGTTTCTCTTCTAGTATTTAATGTTTTTCTCACCTTATGCTACAGCTACTTGTGTGCATGTTCTGTCTGTATAATAAAATGTAAGTGCCTTGAGGACTGGGACACCAAGCACTGTCCTTTGCATATAGTAAGTTCCTAACAAATGTTGAGTGAATAGCTAAATGTAAATGATGAATAACAAATCCTAAGAATCAATGAAGTTTATATTTGTCCATTTTTTAATATAATCACTGTTGACTGATATACAATATAGTATATACTATTATATATAATATAGCAACTAAGATATTTCAGCTAACTGCAAGATGGTGGTCTACAAAGGAAAAATTAGTAACATTAAAATCAGCTGATATTATTATGTTCACATCTGTGGTTCAGGTTTTGAAAGTGAATTAATTTGAAACTATTCATTAAAAAAAACCTTCTAATTCTCTCTGAATTTCATTTATGCATAGTAACTTTTCCTCTACCCTATACTTATGACCTCAAGTAACCAAGATTGGGCCATACTCACACCCAGGTATCCATTATGTTTGTTCATATGTAATAACTACATTCATTATAATGTACCTAGTCTATAATGCATTTGACAGATCAGTGAATGGATTCAAAGGATATGAGTCTAAGAAATTCTAATGTTCTTATTTTGTTTTTGTTTTTGCTACCTTGAGAATTATGGATTTCCCAATAGCCTAATAAATTTCTACCCCAAATGATAGGACTTCTCATAGATGGCATATTCAGCATCCTCCTTGTGGTCTTTAAAAAATAGAAAAAAAAGAAAAAGAAAACACTGAACTCTTCAGCAGGGAGGCCTCTTGGTGATCTCTCTGATCATTTCAGGGTTCCTTTTCCTTATGTTTAAATCATCATATTTTAAGGTTCTCAGGAGGATTGTTAACATCCTTGCTTTGAAAGATTCAGAATTTCCTGAATCAAATATGTTTTGAAAATGTGTTTGGGTGATTGACTGCCAAATCTGGCCCCTTAACCCATTTGGCTCCCCAAAATGTGATTTGAGAAAGGAAAACCAGGAAGGAAAAAAATAAGAAAGAAAGAAAGAAAATTTCTCCTTAAGCAGTGTTCTTACACTTTTCTTGGTCAGTTCAGAAACTTTCTTAAATGCTGTTTTCACCATATAACATTTCATCATATTTTTGCCAGCAGTTGGCCTGTGAGAGCCGCCATGCTCATTCCTGCATTGCCTTTCACATAATCAAATGTCACCCTTGTGTATTGCAAATCATTTCACGATGGATTATTAATGCCAAGACCATGTGCTGGGACATGGAGAAACCATTATGCCAGCAGTAGCCTTCTTACTGAGCCGTGGACGTCACCTCCAATGGTGCTAAGTAATTCAAAATACTTGAAGTGGAGTATGGGACTGGATTTCAGGATTAATCCTTCTGGCTTCATGAAAGCTGTAAGAGATTATGCTTATTCATTCTTTAGAAAAGTGGTGTTCAGACTGAGCTTTAGTTTTCTGATTAATCAAAGGAAAGCAGTCAAAAGGACTGGTGGACACAGACCATTGGTTTTATGCAAA